GCCGTTGCGTGTCAGCGTATATTCAGCCAAGGCCCCGGTTCACATTATATTCATATTGTGCAGCCCAATCCCAATGAGCCCCCCCCATAGACCCCGTGGAAGACCCCGACCGGATTCACCAGTTAGTGCAAATGGTTGAGGAGTATCAGCAGCAAGATCAACAGGCCCATGAAACCATCATCCAGGCCGGGGAGTTAGATGAAGCCACGCCATGGTTGAATCGGACGGGGTGGGTTCGGTATTTACAAGGGACCCCCCGGCAGCCATTATTCGAGAGTACCCAGCGCCCCGAGGAGGATGCCGAGGGACCAGAGCGTATCGCATTGGTCATTTGGGAGGCCATGGAGCGATTGGCATCGGTGAGCCAGGAGATCGCCAAGGCGTGCGGGCATTTAGTACGCATTGATGTGGTCCGTACGATGAAGGACGAGAGTCCACATAAGCCATTATTGGCATATTTAGATGCCACCGCCATTCAAAAGCATGTGGCACCGTGGCAGCAGATTATGATGTTTTTTGCACGAACCCAGGTATGATCACGTCCGTACCCGATATCAGACACCCAGGTTGATTCACCATCCCAGATTGAACATGATTGGGAATCACCCAAGTATTCATTTACCCCCCGACAGCAGCAGTTATGGGATGCCGTGTGGCGCCATGCCCAGGCCCAGGCCAGTTGTCCCGACCCCGAGGATGATGAGCCCGAGCCATTCGAGATTCGTCCCATCGAGCATGCATTATTAACGTTTTGCATCGATTTATTACGCCAGAAGATCCGCAACGATGAATATGGATGTGCCATGATTTGTGCCACCGCCGTGATTGGATGCGGGCAGTTTGGTTGGGCCACGCCCGAGAATTTCCCCCCCCGGATATCCAGTTTGATCAAGATCGCGCGGTTTTTTATTTTGCACAAAGCATTGCGGTTAGACCCCCCGGTCATCGGAGATCCGTCGTGGGTTCGCCGGGCAGCAGAACCCGCCATGGTTTGAAGGTGATATGATCGGCATCGATGAGGCATATGCCCACGATGATGAAGGATATGGCAGTGCCCCCCCCCATCCCCGGTGGCCATGCGTAGTTCCCCCCCCCCACCAGCGATGACATATTAGGAGCATTGACACAGGAGCAGCGCCAGCATCCCGACCGAACGTTCCCCGAATGGGTCACATATTTGGTGGATTTATTCATGGTTCGTGGGACCAATGGCCCCGTCCAGTGGTGGTTAGATTTACGTACGTACGGACGGACGATATTTATGAATACCCCCAGCGAGGGTCATATCGGGTGGAAGTCCGGAGATGAATTGTTGTACAAACAGATCCATTTTACCATGGGCCATTTCCGCGGATTTGTGCATGGGTTGGTTGGCCGGTTACGGCAGCAGTTGGTCCACGAGTTGATGTTTTGCACCGATCACCCGCCCCCAGCCATCCCGTGGGATCATTTGTACGATGATGCCACGCAGAGTGCCACCGGATGGAGTTTTTTACAGGATTTACGTACATCGTGGCCGGTCCAGGGTCCGACGTGGTTCATGGAGCGTATCCGCCACGAGCCCCGATTACAGCGTCAGTTTGTACAGTCCCACGGGGCCGGGTTCCGGATGCCCGCCATCGATCGGTTTTTTCGAGTGGTGAGCCAGTTCCGTGAGCGGTTAAGCGTGGCCGTCCATGTTTGTGCCGGTCAACCCAGCCGGGGTCCCGAGTTAATGAGCATCCGGCATCGTAACAGTGAGCGAGAGCGCCGCAATATATTCATTGAGGATGGCATGGTCACATTTGTCAGTCGATACCATAAGGGGTTCCATGTGGCCAATGATACCAAGGTGATTTTCCGATATTTACCCCGGGAGATTGGTGAGTTGGTCATATGGTATTTATGGTTAGTATTGCCATTTGTGGAGCAGATGCAGTCATATCAGCGGCATATACGGGGCGAAGCCGCCACCATCGGTCGACGGGCCGAGTATGTATGGTCCCCGGATCCCGATCGGCAGACCGAGTGGAGTAGCGTCCGGTTACGGGAGGTATTGAAGCGCGAGACCGCGATTGGATTGGATGGGCAGAAGTTGGGATTACAGGCATACCGTGACATCGCCATCGCCATCAGCCGGCGGTATTTACGCCCCAGCAGTCAGTTCCAGGCCAACACCGAGGAGGAGGCCCCCGACATTGACGACGAGACATCCATGGATGATGATGGGATCCGAGCATTCATTGCGGATATCCAGGCCGCGCATTCCGCCAGCATTGCCGGGACGCAATATGGCCGGATGATGATGGAGAATCCCAACACCACGGCCCGGCACCGCGAGTTATTCCGCCAGGTGAGCCAGGATTGGCATTATTTTTTAGGATTCGAGTCCACCCGTATCGAACATGACCGCCGGGCCCCCGGCACCAAGCGTAAGCCCAACCCATGGGAAGTCGAAACGGCCGAGGCCCGTACGCAGCGTCGATATGATTTACACCAGACCAACATAGACGAGGCATTCCAGCACATGATGGGGAGCAACACCGTAGCATTGCGGGGGCAACAGGGTCCCGTATTACAAGCCATCAAGCATGGGGTAAGCCCCATTGTGGCGGTCATGCCCACCGGGGGAGGTAAGAGTGTGTTGTTTATGTTGCCCGCGTGGGTGAGTGGCCGTGCCGGGTTAACCATCGTGGTTGTTCCATTGATTGCATTACGCGGTGACATGGAAGCACGATGCCAGCGATTGGGGATTTCATGTGCGGTATGGGACCCCTATCCCATGGGGGTAAATTCAATGAGGCCCATTGAATTTTTTAGGGTTTTGTTAAGTATGGGGGAAAAAAGTGGGTCCAGGGCCCATTGAATTTAGATTTCAAACCCCCATTGAATTTAGCAAAATAATGTCGTAGAGTTTCCAGATTTCGATATATTTTAATTTAGTATTAGTTTTATTCCATAGCCAAATTTAAGCACAATCAGAGCATATCCAGTATCGATTTTGTCCCCCACAAAGTAGCAAGATTTTTTGATGGGGTAACCACCAGCCGCCGGTCGCGACCAGTCAAACCCACCAACATCAACAACCACCATATGTAGTTTAGTCATAGGATTTGTTTTTTTTTGTTTCAAATTTCAGGGGGGTTTTCCCAGATCCCCCATCATCATCCCATTTTATTTTGGGTCCATTTGAACAACATTGAGTTGATCCCATTTCCCAGATATACAATACCAGCCGATATATAGATTTCCATATCCGACATGGACACCGAATACCAGGCCCACGAATTATTTTGTGTCAATGCCGAATTTCGCGTGTTGATTTGCCAGAAATGTCAATGTGCCGTACGCCGGGGACAGATCAAGGCCCATTTAAGTAGTACCGTACATCGGATACCCATTTCGTGGGTACAGTATATCGACAGAGTGATCCAGCAGTGGGATCATATTGATGATCACCCAGAGGTGGATAGTTGGCCCCGCCAGATTGATCAACCCATCCCCGAGTTACCCGTTTATCAGGATGGATTATTGTGCCAGCAATGTGAGGTATATACATGCCGCCAGATCCGTACGATGAAGGCACATTGGATAGAGGCCCATCAGTATCGTGTACAGCAAAGCCGCGGTCGTCCCACACCCAGACAGGAAAAAGCCATCCAGGCCGCCATTAACGCCAATAGCCGAGCCGTTGCGTGTCAGCGTATATTCAGCCAAGGCCCCGGTTCACATTATATTCATATTGTGCAGCCCAATCCCAATGAGCCCCCCCATAGACCCCGTGGAAGACCCCGACCGGATTCACCAGTTAGTGCAAATGGTTGAGGAGTATCAGCAGCAAGATCAACAGGCCCATGAAACCATCATCCAGGCCGGGGAGTTAGATGAAGCCACGCCATGGTTGAATCGGACGGGGTGGGTTCGGTATTTACAAGGGACCCCCCCGGCAGCCATTATTCGAGAGTACCCAGCGCCCCGAGGAGGATGCCGAGGGACCAGAGCGTATCGCATTGGTCATTTGGGAGGCCATGGAGCGATTGGCATCGGTGAGCCAGGAGATCGCCAAGGCGTGCGGGCATTTAGTACGCATTGATGTGGTCCGTACGATGAAGGACGAGAGTCCACATAAGCCATTATTGGCATATTTAGATGCCACCGCCATTCAAAAGCATGTGGCACCGTGGCAGCAGATTATGATGTTTTTTGCACGAACCCAGGTATGATCACGTCCGTACCCGATATCAGACACCCAGGTTGATTCACCATCCCAGATTGAACATGATTGGGAATCACCCAAGTATTCATTTACCCCCCGACAGCAGCAGTTATGGGATGCCGTGTGGCGCCATGCCCAGGCCCAGGCCAGTTGTCCCGACCCCGAGGATGATGAGCCCGAGCCATTCGAGATTCGTCCCATCGAGCATGCATTATTAACGTTTTGCATCGATTTATTACGCCAGAAGATCCGCAACGATGAATATGGATGTGCCATGATTTGTGCCACCGCCGTGATTGGATGCGGGCAGTTTGGTTGGGCCACGCCCGAGAATTTCCCCCCCCCGGATATCCAGTTTGATCAAGATCGCGCGGTTTTTTATTTTGCACAAAGCATTGCGGTTAGACCCCCCGGTCATCGGAGATCCGTCGTGGGTTCGCCGGGCAGCAGAACCCGCCATGGTTTGAAGGTGATATGATCGGCATCGATGAGGCATATGCCCACGATGATGAAGGATATGGCAGTGCCCCCCCCCATCCCCGGTGGCCATGCGTAGTTCCCCCCCCCCAGCGATGACATATTAGGAGCATTGACACAGGAGCAGCGCCAGCATCCCGACCGAACGTTCCCCGAATGGGTCACATATTTGGTGGATTTATTCATGGTTCGTGGGACCAATGGCCCCGTCCAGTGGTGGTTAGATTTACGTACGTACGGACGGACGATATTTATGAATACCCCCAGCGAGGGTCATATCGGGTGGAAGTCCGGAGATGAATTGTTGTACAAACAGATCCATTTTACCATGGGCCATTTCCGCGGATTTGTGCATGGGTTGGTTGGCCGGTTACGGCAGCAGTTGGTCCACGAGTTGATGTTTTGCACCGATCACCCGCCCCCAGCCATCCCGTGGGATCATTTGTACGATGATGCCACGCAGAGTGCCACCGGATGGAGTTTTTTACAGGATTTACGTACATCGTGGCCGGTCCAGGGTCCGACGTGGTTCATGGAGCGTATCCGCCACGAGCCCCGATTACAGCGTCAGTTTGTACAGTCCCACGGGGCCGGGTTCCGGATGCCCGCCATCGATCGGTTTTTTCGAGTGGTGAGCCAGTTCCGTGAGCGGTTAAGCGTGGCCGTCCATGTTTGTGCCGGTCAACCCAGCCGGGGTCCCGAGTTAATGAGCATCCGGCATCGTAACAGTGAGCGAGAGCGCCGCAATATATTCATTGAGGATGGCATGGTCACATTTGTCAGTCGATACCATAAGGGGTTCCATGTGGCCAATGATACCAAGGTGATTTTCCGATATTTACCCCGGGAGATTGGTGAGTTGGTCATATGGTATTTATGGTTAGTATTGCCATTTGTGGAGCAGATGCAGTCATATCAGCGGCATATACGGGGCGAAGCCGCCACCATCGGTCGACGGGCCGAGTATGTATGGTCCCCGGATCCCGATCGGCAGACCGAGTGGAGTAGCGTCCGGTTACGGGAGGTATTGAAGCGCGAGACCGCGATTGGATTGGATGGGCAGAAGTTGGGATTACAGGCATACCGTGACATCGCCATCGCCATCAGCCGGCGGTATTTACGCCCCAGCAGTCAGTTCCAGGCCAACACCGAGGAGGAGGCCCCCGACATTGACGACGAGACATCCATGGATGATGATGGGATCCGAGCATTCATTGCGGATATCCAGGCCGCGCATTCCGCCAGCATTGCCGGGACGCAATATGGCCGGATGATGATGGAGAATCCCAACACCACGGCCCGGCACCGCGAGTTATTCCGCCAGGTGAGCCAGGATTGGCATTATTTTTTAGGATTCGAGTCCACCCGTATCGAACATGACCGCCGGGCCCCCGGCACCAAGCGTAAGCCCAACCCATGGGAAGTCGAAACGGCCGAGGCCCGTACGCAGCGTCGATATGATTTACACCAGACCAACATAGACGAGGCATTCCAGCACATGATGGGGAGCAACACCGTAGCATTGCGGGGGCAACAGGGTCCCGTATTACAAGCCATCAAGCATGGGGTAAGCCCCATTGTGGCGGTCATGCCCACCGGGGGAGGTAAGAGTGTGTTGTTTATGTTGCCCGCGTGGGTGAGTGGCCGTGCCGGGTTAACCATCGTGGTTGTTCCATTGATTGCATTACGCGGTGACATGGAAGCACGATGCCAGCGATTGGGGATTTCATGTGCGGTATGGGACCCCCAACGGCCACCCGATGGGGTATCCATCGTATTGATCACGCCCGAGAGCACCGACAGCGATGCATTTGCCGATTTTGTGACCCGGCAGCGGATGTTACAGCGATTAGATCGGATTGTGGTGGACGAGTGCCATATGGTATTAAGTCAACAGGAGCGATTCCGGCCATTATTCCAGCAGTTGGGCAAGTTACGAACCGCAGCCACCCAGATCGTGATGTTGACCGCGACATTGCCCCCCCCGCAGCGAGGAATTATTATTCCATCGGATGCATTGGGTCCGGGATCAAGTGGTATTATATCGGGGCCACACCAGCCGGCCCAATATCGCATATCGTGTCCATACGATCCCCGTAGACGATGGATATGACCATCCGTTCCAGTGGGTGCAGATGCGGAGTGTGATCCAGTTCATCCAGGACCGTGTTCGCCGAGCGTACCCCGGCCGGGTGATCATATATGCCACCGTCCGGGCCCATGTCACCGCATTGGCCGAGTTATTAGGTTGTGCCGCATACCATAGCAAGCAGGTGGACAAGGAAGGGATTTTGGCATCATTCCGCCACCAGGCCGGGGCGGTGATCACGGCCACCAGTGCGTTAGGGATGGGGATTGATATCCCCGATATCCGCAGTGTGATCCACGTTGGTCAGCCCCGGACCATGTTAGATTACGCGCAGGAAAGTGGGCGGGCCGGGCGTGATGGACAGCCCAGCGAGGCGATTATCATCCAGGCCGAGGGTCAGACGATGGGGCGGGAATGCCGTCCGTTTTGGATGCACGATGCGCCCCCGGACGACCATGCCCATGTTGTTGAGTATATGGAGGCGGCGGTGACGGGTTGCCGGCGAGTGATATTGGATGGGTATTTGGATGGACCCATCGAGGAATACCAACGACAGCGATGTGGTGATCGGGTGGTCGAGTCCGCATGTGATGGATGTATGCCCAATTGGGAAGACCAGGAGTCCCGGATTGGATCCGCGTCCCCCGTTATCGCCGATGACCCGATGGTTGATGTTGGGGCGGTTGAGCCGGTGATGGCCGGCCCGACGGAGGATATTCCCAGCACCATGGCCCGGGCCGTACCAATCGCCATCCAGCATACATTTCGGCAACAGGATATCCAACGGGCCGAATTATGCCAGCAGGCGGATGGGAGGGCCGGTCAGCAATATGAGGATGAAGAGTTTTTGATCCGTGAGATTGAGAAGTGGGTTGATCGTTGTTGGACATGCAGCCAAGGAGGCCGTGACGATGGACATGAGATGTGGAAGTGTTGGTATGGTGAAGGGGGCAGCGGCAAGATTGCGCAGGCCAGTAAGGATTGGATGGTCAAGATTCGACGGCAGATTTCGTACGATGGGTTCACGGCGCATTTTTGGTGTGGGATGCCGCAGTATATATGTCCGCGGAGCGATCGGCGAACGGAGCATAGTCCGCAGACGGTCCAGGCATGTGATGGATATCGTACGGCATTGATTCCGACGATTGCGATGATGGTGCATGGGCCCCATGCCAATGCAGTAATCCGAGAACGGTGGTTCCAGCGATTGAGTGAGCATGGGGTGGATAATATCCGGGCGAACGATACAGAGTTGATTCGGTATTTGGGACAGATGGCGCGGAATTGTGGACGAAAGCGAGCGCAGATTACGGAAGAGTTTATTTGGTTACGGAGAGCATATCAAGGAGTTGAGCGTGGTGGGTAGGTGGAAATCGAGAGCGGCGTTCGTGTTTTCCGTATTCAAGTAATAAAGACGATGGCCAAATATATGTTGTCATGTTGCCGGGTTCCATGGTTGATTCAGTGTATTTCCAGGTGAGAGGGATGATTACGGTAGAAATATATGGGAATTATAGGGTCAGGAGGATAGATATATGATGGGTATTAGGAAGGTGATATACAGGACGATTGTATAGTAAGTGATAAGGTCATTAGTGATAGGGATCGTGTGTTATACGGAGATCGAGGTTTAGAAGTTGGGAATGTTCCGAGAGATGCCAGTGGTGAGGGTTTATGGATGGGTGGTGAGGGTTTGTAGATAGGTGGTGAGGGTTTATGGATGGGTGGTGAGGGTTTGTAGATAGGTGGTGAGGGTTTATGGATGGGTGGTGAGGGTTTGTAGATAGGTGGTGAGGGTTTGTAGATAGGTGTTTAGGGTTATATATGTTGGTGTTCCAAAGTTGTTTGTTATTAGATAAGTGGTTCCAACCCGTCCGAGAGTGCATAGGAAGAGATCAGAGTAACAAAAGTCAGTAAATCAGTTACAAGGTTTTGATATAGATAGCAAGGGACCCAGGGCCCATGAGATGAGGGTTTTCGGGGTAGAACCCGGTCAGAGGGTGGTTTTAGGGTTTTGGCATTGATATTAACCCGGGCCCGGGCCCGGGTGGTGAGTTTTAGGGTTGAAACC